CACCGGGTCCGGGATGTGAACCGCGGTCGACTATGTGGGAGTCCAGTGACATAGCCATTACGGTAACTGCTGGTTCCTCCCAGCATGTTTTCAAACTTCTCAAGCCACCAGGTGTCTGGGACTCTAACCGCATGGTTGGGCATATGGGGTCTTGCTACCTCAAAGCCTGCTTTCTCTACTGGTCCCATTTTAGCCATTTCTTTTTTTTTTTTAAAGATTATTTATTTAATTTTATCTATTATTATTTTTAAATAATTATTTTTTACTGGGACCAGCAGGTGGCGTGGTGGTTAAGGTGCTGGACACTCCCACATGGCTGACCAGGGTTTGAGTCCTAGACCTGGTGGCTTGCTTTCTCACTTCCTCTCTCTTTCTCACTTCCTGTCTCTCTCTGGTCAATTAAAAAAAAAAATCAATGAATGAATAAATAAAAAAAAATAGTTATTTTAAAAAAAAGATTTATTTATTTTTTACTTAAATTTTATTTATTTATTTATCATCACCAATTTTGCACAGTACTTTTCATCATCCTGAACAGAAACTCTGGAACCATTAAGCGGTGATTTCCCATTGCTCTTTACCCCAGCCCCTGGTATTCTCTGTTCTACTTTGTGCCCCTCTGAATTTGCCTATTCTAGATATTTTATATAAATGGAATCATGTCACATTTGACCTTTGGTCTTTGGTATCTGGCTCCTTTCACTCAGATAAATGTTTTGAGGTTTGCTCAGCTTGTAGCATGTTTCAGAACTCCACTTATTTTATTTTTAATTTTTTAATTTTAAAAATTATTGGGAACCAGCAGTTAGAGTAATGGCTATGTCACTGGACTCTCACGTAGTTGATCGTGGTTTGCGTCCCGGACCCGGTGGTTTAAAACTCACGCTAGGCGCATGTGCGTGTGTGCCCAAGATCCCGAGAGGAGAATGGAGGAGAAGGGATCGTGGCATGACCATCCCCCCTGGGGGGTGATTTCTCGCTTTCTGTCTCTGTGTTTCTCTCTGTCTGGTGAGCGCACGTACCCTATAGCAAAAACCTCTCCAAAAAAAAAAAAAAAGAAAAAAAATTAATTTTATTTATTTACTCAGGAAGTGAGAAAGCAAGTCACCAGGTCTGGGACTCAAACCACAGTCCACCATGTGGGAGTGTCCAGTGCCTTAATCACCATACCACCTGCTGGTCTCCAGAACTTCACTTACTTTAAAGCTGAATAGTAGTTCATTGTCTGGGTAGACCACAATTTGTTTATCCATTCACTGTTGTGGGCATTTGGGATGTCTCCACTGTTTGGCTGTTGTGAATAGTGCTGTTATGAACCTGGGTGCACAGACACCTGTTTCAGACCCCATTCTCACTTCCTCTGGGTTTGTACCCAGGAGTGGAATTGTTCAGTGGTGTGTTAATTCTGAATTTAGCATTTTGAGGAACCACCATGCTGTTTTCTCCAGTGATTGCACCTCTTTACCTTCCTACGTAGCCGGGGGCTCAGGCGAGCATGTGAAAAGGGAGAGGAAGTGGCCAACAGGGCCCTCAGGCTCCTGGTTTATCTTTGGGGAGCTTGCATGCTGGGGGAAGAAGGGGGTATTGGTGCCTTCAGCCCTTCCCTTCCTGTCCCTGCCCTGCCCCTGTCCTGCAGGCGAGCGAGGACAAGGTGAAGCAACTGGTGAGGGAGATCGGCCGGGAGATCCAGCAGCTGAACATGGCTGGCTGCTACTGGCTGTCAGGCTCCACCATCGAGCACGTGGCCCGTTGCCGCAGCCTGGTAAAGGTGAACCTCTCGGGCTGCCACCTGACCTCCCTGCGCCTCTCCAAGATGCTCTCGGCCCTGCAGCACCTGCGCTCGCTGGCCATTGACGTGAGCCCTGGCTTCGATGCCAGCCAGCTGAGTGGTGACTGCAAGGCCACGCTGAGCCGCGTGAGGGAGCTCAAGCAGACACTGTTCACGCCGTCCTATGGTGTGGTGCCTTGCTGCACTAGCCTCGAGAAGCTGCTGCTCTACTTTGAGATCCTGGACCGCACACGTGAGGGCGCCATCCTCTCGGGCCAGCTCATGGTGGGCCAGAGCAACGTGCCCCACTACCAAAACCTGCGGATCTTCTATGCCCGTCTGGCCCCAGGCTATATCAACCAGGAGGTGGTGCGGCTATACCTGGCTGTGCTCAGTGACCGCACGCCTGAGAACCTCCATGCCTTCCTCATCTCTGTCCCGGGCAGCTTTGCTGAGAGCGGGGCCACCAAGAACCTACTAGAGTCCATGGTCCGCAATGTCACGTTGGATGCCCTACAACTGCCCAAGTCCTGGCTGAATGGCTCAGCCCTACTTCAGCACATGAAGTTCAGCAATCCGTTCTACTTCAGCTTCAGCCGGTGCACCCTGTCTGGCAGCCACCTGATCCAGCGGGTCATCAACGGTGGGAAGGACCTCCGAAGCCTGGCCAGCCTGAACCTCAGCGGCTGTGTCCACTGCCTGTCCCCTGATTCCTTGCTCCACAAGGCAGAGGATGAAATTGACAGCAGCATCCTGGAGACTCTTGTGGCGTCCTGCAGCAATCTGCGGCACCTGAACCTCTCAGCTGCCCACCACCACAGCTCTGAGGGCCTGGGCAGGCACCTATGCCAGCTCCTGGCCCGGCTGCGCCACCTGCGCTCCCTTTCCCTGCCTGTCTGTGCTGTCTCTGACTCGGCACCACGGGCTGACCGCGTGCCTGCCCAGCCAGTGATGCACGCTGTGCCCCGTGGCTTCGGCAAGAAGGTGCGCATAGGCGTGCAGTCTTGCCCGAGCCCCTTCTTGGGCCAGACAGCCCCCCAGCCTTCCTCTGTATTCTGGTCTCTGCTAAAGAGCTTGCCTTTTCTGGAACACCTCGAGTTAATTGGGTCCAATTTCTCTTCTGCCATGCCACGCAATGAGCCTGCCATCCGCAACTCCCTCCCACCCTGCAGCCGGGCACAGAACGTCGGAGACTCGGAGGTGGCTGCCATTGGCCAGCTGGCCTTCCTGCGGCATCTGACGCTGGCCCAGTTGCCCAGCATTTTGACGGGCTCTGGGCTGGTCAGTATTGGCCTACAGTGCCAGCAGCTTCAGTCCCTTTCGCTGGCCAATCTGGGCATGATGGGGAAGGTGGTCTACATGCCTGCCCTGTCGGACATGCTGAAACACTGCAAGCGGCTGAAAGACCTCAGGTGAGAGGGCCCTGGTGGCACCTCCATGGCCTCTGCTAGCTCTTTGGAGACCCTTGCAGGCCAGCGGAGGGGGAGTGAGTACTGCGTGTTTGCAGACCTGTAGCCCATTGGTGGAGCTCAGAGATGGGCATGCCGTGGGCTGTCCTCTAGGAGCTCAGAGGCTGGCGGTAGGACCTTACTGGGATGATACAGGGCTCAGCGAGGCCTTGGGAGAAGTAGCACTCTAGTGGAACCCCTGGCAGGTACAGGAGCTGGGGTACCTGAGCTTAGCATGGTTGTCTCTATTCTTTGTAGTTATTTGAGTGATTGCTTCTTTTATTTTATTTTATTTTTTGCGGGGGAGAGATTTTCGCTATAGGGCGCGTGCGCTCGCCAGACAGACAGAGAGAGACATAGAGACAGAAAGTGAGAAATCACCCCCCAGGGAGGATGGTCATGCCGCAATCCCTTCTCCACCATTCTCCTCTCGGGATCTTGGGCACGCACGCACACGCACCCAGCATGAGTTTTAAGCCACCGGGTCCGGGACGTGAACCGCGGTCAACTACATGGGAGTCCAGCGACATAGCCATTACGTTAACTGCTGGTTCCTGAGTGATTGCTTCTTACAGTGCTGCCATGCACATCATCTTATTTCTTAATTTTGTTAGAAGACACAGGTACTCTCGGAGAGAGACAGGAAGAGAGGGAGAAAGCGCTCCCCCACACAATGGGGAATGGTCTCCACGATACCCTTTCCTTCCTTTCTCCACTCCCAGCCTCACCAGCCCCAGATCATGAGAACCTGCATGCCTAACATACTCAAGGGAGGTCTTCAAACACAAACCCGGAACCTTCTCATGTGGGTCAGCCTTATAGAACATCACATTTTACTGCTGTGCCACTGTGTGGCCCCCAGATCATCTTGTTTAATCCCCACAGCAATCCTGTGAGGTGGATGTAACTGTTCCCATGCAGCAGGGCTATAAGTAGGAGAGTGGGATTCAGACCTAGGACTTTCTGACCCAACTTTGTGGTTCTCAAAGGATATGTAGGCGTTATCCAGGAGGTGCAGGGCCAAGGCTTTCTGGAATAGAAGTGAGTGTACAAAAGCCTCAGAGGTTTGAAAACATGCCAATAAACCAGTGGGTTCAGAGTGGCCAGGGCATAGCGGGCAGGTAGGAGGGGTGGGAGAGCAGCAGGTGAAGGTGCTGAAGGGCTTTTGTTCTTTCCTTTTTTCTTTCCTTTTTTAGTCTGCTATTGGGTGCATGCTTTTGCTAGCGAGAGAGAGGAAAAGTGAGAAAGCACGCCTCCGGGCGGGGGGGAGGAGGGATAGCCATGCTGCAGTCTCTTTTCCATTCTCTCAGGATCTTAGGCAGGCATGCATATGGCGTGTTTTTATTTATTTATTTATTTATTTATTTAAATTTTTTTTTCTTGGGCACGCACGCACACGCGCTCGGCATGAGTTTTAAGCCACCGGGTCTGGGACACGAACCGCGGTCGACTACGTGGGAGTCTAGCGACATAGCTAACTGCTGGTTCCCTTATTTATTTATTTTTAAGATTTTTTTGCCATAGGGCACGTGTACTCACCAGAGAGAGAGAGTGAGAAGTCACTCCCCAGAGGGAATGGTCACACCACAATTCTTTCTCCTCCTCCTCTCTTCTTGAGACTTTGGGCATGCATGCACAGGTGCCTGGTGTGATTTTCAAGCTACCGGGTTCAGGACTCAAACCACGGTTGACCATCTGGGAGTCTGGTGCCTTATCTACCGTGCTACCTGCTGGCCCCTCATGGTGTTTTTTTTTTTTTTTGAGAGGTTTTCGCTATAGGGCACGTGTGCTCGCCAGACAGACAGAGAGAGACAGAAACAGAAAGCGAGAAATCACCCCCCCAGGGGGGATGGTCACGCCGCAATCCCTTCTCCGTTCTCCTCTCGGGATCTTAGGCATGCATGCACACACGCCCGGTGTGAGTTTTAAGCCACTGGGTCTGGGACGCGAACCATGGTCGACTACGTGGGAGTCCAGTGACATAGCCATTATGCTAACTGCTGGTTCCCCTTATGGTGTGTTTTTAAAGCTGCCAAGTCCAGGACTTGAACTGCACAATTGGCCCTGTGGGATCTGGCCACCGTAACCAGCATAACACCAGCTAGCCCTTCTTTTTTTTTTCTCAGATTTATTAAAGGGCACATGTGCTCACTGGAGACAGAGAAAGTGAGAAAGTACTCCTGGGGATGGTCACGCAGCTGTCCCTTCTCCATTCTCCTCGTGGATTTGGGCACACACACTTGCCTAAATGTTGTTTTTCTTTCTTTTTTCTTTTTTTTTGGGAGAAGTTTTTGCTATAGGGCGTGTGCTCTAGCTGGAGAGACAGAGAGACAGAAAGCGAGAAATCACCCCCTAGGGGCTATGGCCATGCCGCAATCCCCTCTCCTCCATTTTCCTCTCAGGATCTTGGGCACGCACGCACACGCGCCCAGCGTGAGTTTATGCCACCAGGTCTGGGACTCAAACCGTGCTTGATTATATGGGAGTCCAGCAACGTAGCCATCACGCCATCTGCTGGTCCCAACCTGCCGAGTTTTTTAAGCCACTAGGTCTGGGACTTGAACTGTGCAGTCAGTCATGTGGGATCCAGCCACCTTAACCACCATGCCACCTAGCCAGCCCTGCCTTTTTAAAAAATTATTAGGTTTATTTTTTCCCTGAAAGAGAGAGAGAGAGAGAGACAGAGACAGGCACCCCCCCCCCCCCCCCCCATTAGGTCCTCATGCCACAGTCCACCCTCTGCCTCAGCCAGCATGAATCACAGACGTGTACACGTGTGTCCAGGGAGACTCAGGATGCAAACCCAGGAGTTTCCCATGTGACCTTGGTGCTGAAGGACTTTAACATGGACAGAGAGAGAATTCGCCATCATCCCATGTGGACTAAATGGGACAGGATAAAGAAGTGGAGAGGTAGGATCAGAGGGGACCTGCGGTTTCCTGGGAGACAATGGCAGCCTGGTACACAGAATGGTGCTGGACCATTGAGAGAGTGTGAGGAGGAAGGACCCTCAGGCCTCAATGACCCCACCCCAAGCCCTTGTCGTGGGGCCCACCAGCATTCTAGAGCCAAGCACAAAACAGATCAAACTGTTCTGTTGTGGAGCAAAGGATGTTCTTGTGTGGCCCCAGAATTTAAAGGATGAGAATTTGTTAGTTTAAGATATATTTGATGGGTTGGGGGCCAGCAGAAAGCATGGTAGTAGGGGCACTGAACTCCTACCTGGCCGACCACAGTTTGAGTCCCAGACCTGGTGGCTTGTTTTCTCACTTTACCTTTCTGTCTCTCTGGTCAAATTAAAAATAGTAATAGTAATAATAATAAATAAAATCTTTAAAAAATAAAAAATATATATTTGAAGGAATGGGGACAGATAGTGGCATAGTGGTTAAGGTGCTGGACTCCCACATGGCCAACTGTGGTTCAAGTCCCGGCCGGACCTGCCAGCTTTCTTTCTCACTTTCCCCTTTTCTTTCTCCTTGTCTCTTTGACCACATTAAAAATATATATTTAAAAAAAATAATTTAATTTAATTTGATCAGAGAGGACAGAATGATATATATAGAGAGAGGGAAAGTGAGGAAGCAAGCCATCAGGTCTGGGACTCGAACTGCAGTTGCTCATGTGGGAATCCAGTACTCTTAACTGCCATGCCACCTGCCGACCCCACCACATTAAAAATATTAATAGTAAATAAAATTAAACAAATATTTCTTTCTTTTTTTTTTTGGAGAGATTTTCACTGTAGGGCGCGTGCGCTCGCCAGACAGAGAGAGACATAGAGACAGAAAGCGAGAAATCACCCCC